GTAACTACAATTTTCGAAAAGCCCTTCCTTTGGCTTGCCAGAAAACTGATCGGGGATGCCAACCTTGAGTTTGTAGCCATGACTGCTCTTGCACCACCTGAAGTGGTTATGGATCCTGCATTGGCTGCACAGTATGAGATTGATCTACAGGTTGCCCAGACCACAGCACTGCCAGATGAAGATGATGATCTGTGAGGTGAATGAAGCTCGAGCCCAGAGTCAGAAGTCTAGTTTTATAGGCAACTGTCCTGTGATGTAAGTGGTGCAGCGTGTTTGCCACTTTATTTAGCGGAGCAGAACATGTGCTTAACCTTTTGGGATGCTGAAGGAGAGGAATGGGCTTTGGAGTGAATGTGGCAGTTGAGAAAAAAATAAAATCCTTCATATTTTGGACCTGCGTATCTAGCTGTTTGGGACTGCAAATAATATTCCCTTAAAGTTTCAAATCTAAGTTAAGACTGCTACAGTCACATCACAATGTCAAGTGGTGATCTTGTTTGTTACTGTCATTCCCATACATTTTTCGTTTAGATCATAATAAAGTTGTATTTCAAATACCCTAAAAAAAAGATAAAAATAGATAGTAGAGCCATCTTTGGGGTGAGATGTAGCTCACTGGAGGAACATTTTGTGAACACATGTGAGATGGCTTGCCAGAAGGGCACAGTCAGGGGGCAACTCCACCAAATGTGAGTCAATGTACCAACGTCAGCTTGGCATCTCCAGCACTTATCTGAGTATGAGAGATACATTTGGTGCATCCGAACCAGAGCTCTATACCACCTGGTCAGGAGTTTAAAATTGCTTTTTTGAACAGAGGAGGGCATGCACAGTTAATGTGTAAAACAAAAACATTTGAGCCCATCCTTCTCAAAAAGGACAATATCTAATTCCTGTTCCCAAGCAGACAAAAAGTATAGTGAGCGCTTACAATCCACCGAAATCAGAGGCACACATTTGTTCAGAAGGAGTGAGACCTATATAGATGACCTGAAGAAGATGGAACTTTCAGGAAATGCTGGAGCCGGGCTAAAAAGCATGGAGAGGGATTTTGGAGCACCTCCAAGCAGACCCTGAAAGACATAAGAGGGAACCTTCACCCTCCAACAGAGAAAGGCACTAACCCTACACCCTGGTGGAAAACCTGGATGAGCTATAATTGGAGTCATAGGGCCCTGGAATGTAGACAAGTTGTATTGATGCATCGTGGAATGTCACACCCGAAGCACTAAAGGTAGAAAAAAGGGCAGAGCTGAGCCGCAAGGTCTTTGTGAAGATGGGAGCCATGGAAAATTCATCATGGTGACTGGAGATGGGTCCCGCTCAAGGAGGATCCAAAGCGCAGGGTCTCGGGAGTCGAACCAGTCTACTAAGTGAGATAAATGGGTAGCCCTGTAATATGACTCTAAATCCGGAAGAACGGCCCCACCATGCTCCCTTCTCTTTATCAAAACGGCATACCTGAGCCGTGGTTTGTTGTTTCTCCAAATATAATGCAAGGTGGCCGAAAAAAAGGTAGAGACAGCGAGGGAGTAGATGCATTTTAAATAGCGCAATTCTGCCAAACCAAGTATGATGTAGGTGTGTCCAACAAAGAAGTGTGTCCTCCATGTATCGTAGCAGAGGGGCGTAATTGAGGGAGTACCGATCAGATAAATTAGCTGGAATACGAACCCCCAATTAAGTAATGCTGTCAGATCGCAAAGTGAATGGGAATAAGCTACGTAGGCAATCCCTTTCAGCCGCAGGCAAAGAAACATCTAAAAGTTCACATTTCTGTAGATTTAAACTATAATTAGAAAGAATGCTAAACATCTTAAATTCATGCATCAGAGAGGGTATGCCTACCACGGCGTTGGAAAGATAAAGCAGTAGGTAATCAGCATGACAATCTGGAGACCCTGCACTGAGGCATTGCCCCTAATAGCGTTGGCCAAGTGCTCCATTACTAAAATGTAAAGCAAGGGGAAGAGGGGGCACCCCTCCCTGGTACCATTATGAATCAGAAACGGATTGGACAGGATCCCATTAACCAGCACTTTGGCAGAGAGATTACAATACAGTGCCATAATCCTGTTGACAAAATCCAGAGGAAAGCCTGAATGGAGTAAAGAAGCCAGAAGAAACACTCAGCTGACTCTGTTGAAAGCCTTTTTGGTGTCGACAGAAAACAGTAAAAGGAAGCCCACAGGAGCGTAGTGGATCAAAGTGATTGTGCGCTTAGTGTTATCTTTGGCACTATGTTTAGGCACAAACCCTACTTGGTCTTTGGCTGATTTTATCCCATCACCGATACACAATCTGGTAGCTAGGATCTTGGCATACACCTTGATATCCACATTGATCAGGGAAATTGGGCGGTAATTATTGCAGTGCGTTGGGTCTTTCCCCGGTTTCGGCAAAACAACAACATGAGCTTCTAGGAAATGACGGGGGAAGAGGCAGTAAGGAGAGATAGCATTGAATGACTTGAGGAGGGGGGAAACTAAAAGATCCTGAAAATGTTTGTAAAACTTAGAGGTAAAGCCATCTGGGTCAGGACCTTTACCCATACGGAGCACTTTAAGCATTTGCAAGGGTTCAATATCTGAAAATGGTGCTCTAAGAGTTTGATGAGCATGAGATGGGAGAGAGGGAAGAGCAGTCTTCAAGTAAGCCTGTAGGTTAGATACATAATCCGCAGATCATCCAACCTAGGCTGTATATGGTAAAGAAAGAAAGGTAGAAATCCTGAAATTCTGTCGGAATGAGTTCCGAGCTGTGAACAACGCCATGACGATTCAAATGAACTTTAGGAACATCGACTTTAGAAGTCGTCATCCGTTGGTTGCTCACAGAGCGAACCAACATTCGACCACTTTTATCGCCCTGCTCGTGGAAAATACTGCTAAGTCTGTCTCTGTAGGACAAGTATTTAGCATCTAAAAGTCTCTAAAAGATCTAAAAGATTTGATGTAAAATTCATATCAGATCTTGTGGTAAAAGAGAGGACGAGGATTTCTTATGAGCAGAAACCAAAGTAGCCACTTCATACAATAACTGAGACAAGGTAGCTCCCCTCTCCCTCTTCAAGCGAGAACCATGTTTTATGAATACCCCCCGGACAGTAGCTTTAAGAGCTTCCCATTGAGTAGGAGCAGAGGTAGAATCCGTAGCGTGATCAGAAAGAAAGTTAGTAATTGTAGTAGTACAGTTAGAATCAAGAACAAGGTTTTCGTTTAGCTTCCAAGAGTAAGAGGCATTTTTTTTTCTCCCAATAAATTTTTATTAGATTTTTTTTTTGCAATAACAAAAAAAAGAATAATGTCAATACAGGTTGGACATCAAGACATACAACAAGAAGTCAAATGAAAAACAGACACAGTAAATTTAAAGATATTTCTCGAAAATACTCAATTATTTCACCATATAGTGCACAGATCACGTGAAGGAATGGGCATGGAAAAAACAAAGCAAAAACAAAGGGCTAAACGTAATATAAGCCATCTGCACCAGGTAATAAGGAGTGACAACAGGAATGCATAGGGAGAGGGATGAGACCTCAGAAAAGCGGTACAGTGTAGGGTGTGTCACCTTAGTCGATGAGAAGGGTTCAATGCACATTAGCTGTCGGGTATCTGGTAGTCCAAGGCTCCCAAGTTTTGGTAAATCTAGTCATTGCTTTACCAGTTTGCATCAGAGCCCTTTCATAACTGTAGTGTACATGGACCATGGAGACTACATGTGTAATAGAAGGTATCTCCGGCGACTGCCACCGACACGTGATGTTTAATCGTCCGGCTAGTAGTACTAGCCGGCTAGGTGTGTAGTCACCAACCTATTGTGGGATGGGATATCTTCTATTTCCAAGATTAGCAGTGCTAGTCCCGGGAGGGGTTTTATTTTAGCTATCCAGCATGGAATACAAGGTCTGAAATATCGAGGTCCAATATTGTTGGATGGACGGGCAGGACCATAGTACATGCAATAGATTTCCAACTTGGCCGCAGTTTCTCCAACATAAGTTAGAGTTAGTAGAGGAGATCTTGGCCATGCGATACGGGGTTAAATACCATCTTAGGGTGATCTTTTGAGATAATTCCCATAGATTAACACACGTAGTCGCAGTTTGTACAGACTGAATCGCCTTACACCACTGGGATGGAGTGTAAACCGTATTTAAATCTTCCCATCTAAGAAATGGTAAAGATTTCTTGAAACAGGTCTTCCCCTGCAGGAACCCATATATCATGGATATAACTCTACGCTTAATATAGGGGTTGGTGTAAAACTCCCATATTGCAGAAGGCAATATCTCTTCCTCAGATAAGTGATGCCCCTGCACCCAGACATGTGATGAGATGCACAGTGTGGTCAGATGCCTTTTTTGTAACCAGCATTAACTTTTTTAGCAATTTGAGCTACAGTAGCTCTTCTATTGGATCGGACTACATGGGCCAGCCTTCACTCCCCACGTGCATCAATAAACCATGGTCGCCCATTGCCAGTTCACCGGTTTTCCTTCCTTGGACCACTTTTCATAGGTTCTGACCACTGCAGACCAGGAACATCCAACAAGAGCTGCAGTTTTGGAGTTGCTTGGACCCAGTCGTCTAGCCATCACAATTTGTCTGTCACTGAAGTCCTTACGCCCATTTTTTCTGCTTCCAACACATTAACTTCAGGGACAAAATGTTCATTTTCTACCTGATATATCTTGTCCACTTCCAGGTGCCATTGTAATGAGATAATCAATGTTGTTCACTTCACCTGTCAGTGGTCATAATATTCTGGCTGATCTTACTATTGTAACTGAGCCACTCTAGTATGTTGACTAGCTGCAGAGTTTTATACAAGGCTTCCTTGTTGTCTACTTTTGGAAGTTTGAGAAAAAAATAATCTAGTTTTTCCACAATTTTTAGAAAACCAGTGGCTTGTGCAATATGACAGCCCACCTTCTTCATGTTTAAATAAATTGTAAATATATATTTAATTTACTAAACAGTATATTTTTTCTGCAGGTTGAAGTTGTTGTGGAAATTCCCCCTTACCATAAAAGATCAATTGTAGCCGCAGTCGAGGTTCAGTTTTATCTCTGCAATGGTAAAAGGAAAAGAAGCCAGTCCCAGAAGTTTACCTACACACCAGGTTGGCTACCACAACTACAGTTTTTGTCTGTTAAATTGATGATCGTGTGTTTGTTGTTGTTGTGAGGCTGGCTGGGTCCAGTCATGGTTGCCCTATTTTGTAGAATTTCTGTGGACACACCCTGCCAGATTATATTCATTATTAGAAGGGCTAAAATAAAAACAGACATTATTATTACTTAATTTCTTTGTCAGTAGCCCTGTTTTAATTAATATGACATTTCCTTAGTTTATAAAAATTATAAAGTGTATAAGAGGTTTGTTTAGAAACATTGAGTAAAAGTGATATGCAGTAATGAATGCCATGGCCTTACTAACGAACTGTTGTTTAATCTTGCACAGGATAAAATGTAGTGTCTCCCACAATTCATGCTCACAATATTGCTTACTTAAAAGAATTGTTCATATAAGTATTCCTAAAGAAAACAAAGCTAGTCCTAGAGTTTTTATTTACACAACAGGTTGGCCAGAACAACCACAGTTTTTGTCTATTCGACTGATATTGGTGTTGGGTCAGTACAGCCATGGTTGCCATATTCTGTAGTAGGGATGCACCAATACCATTTTTTACGAGTGGCGATACTTTTCCCTTAAGTACTCGCCAATACCAATTACCGATACTTTTTTTTTTTTAGAATTGTTGTTCTAAAACAGTATAGTCTAGACCAGGGGTGCCCATAATGTCGATCGCGATCTACCAGTCGATCGCGTAGTGATCACTGGTAGATCACAATGTCCTGGGTCTTCTCCCTTGGATCCCTGCTGCTCTCCCCCATCTGTATGCAGTGGGGATCCGAGGAAAGTTTTTTTTAAAAAGGGCTGCGGCCGGCGGCGAGGGGGCGGAGGAGGGAGCCGCTATCACAGAAGTAAGGCCGAGTGGTGAGGAGAGAGAGAGAGAGAGAGACGCTCGGCCAGGATCTGACAGCCGGCGGCTCTCTCCTCACCGCACTCCGTCCTCCGCTGCCCCCGTGGCTGCAGGGCTTCTTTTACTTCTCCTTGGATTCTCCACTGCCTCTGCCCAGGAGAGCAGCGGGACTCCAGAGAAGAAGCTGAGCCCCCCTGTGTGCGTGGCCTAGCGGCGGAGGATCGGTACATATCAGTGATATGTGGCGATCCTCTGTGCAGGATAAACACTGGCGCGATCAGCTGATCACTCCAGTGTTTGTAAATAACTGGGGACACATAGTACTATGTGTCCCCAGTTATAAAGGAACAGGATGTGATTTACATCACTTCCTGTTCATTCATGAGTTTCTCAATGGGGAGAAGCACTCCGAACAGAGGCTCCTCCCCATTCAGAAACTGGATGATAGTAAAATAGTTTCTGAATGAATGGGAAGCCTCTGTGCTTTCCATTCATTTAGAACAGAGGCTGCAGAAAAAGAGAGTGAGGACTTTGTGTCCTCAATTTCTTTTTCTATTTTAAAAGGAAAATATCAGGAGGATGTTTAGATCCCTAATATTTTATCGGAACCCCCCCAAACAGCAACAAAAAATTAAATAATAAATAATACAAAATACAAAATTTTCTTGCCTCGGGCGCAAAAGGAGCTGGCTATGTCTATGCTCCCGCGTTGCTTGTGTGGCTGCTGGCTGTGTTTTTTCGCTGCTAGATCTCATTGAGCTCGTCATTTGAAAAGTAGATCTCCAGACGAAAAATTGTGGGCGCCCCTGGACTAGACTAATGATTTTAGGACAGTGTTGGAGAGCCAAAGCCCAGTCCCTGCTGCAAATGCTGCGCCGCTGGTAGTTCTGCAACTGACTCCAAATCTTAGCAAAACATTATACAGCAATGCAGAATACGAACAGCTATAAAGGATTACAAATCCCAGAGATACATTATACAGCAATGCCGAATGGTAACCGGCTATAGAGGACAACAAATTCCAGCAATATATTATACATCAGTGCAGAATTATATGAAGTTACATACTCTGTGCTGCTCCCGTGTGCTGGCCTGATGTCAGCAGAGGATTACAGGTGGCTGTGGGTGCGGGTGGCGGGTTCTCACAGGAAGGAGGAGATTCTGTTAGTAAGACATACTATCACAATAAATTATCACAAAGAAGAGGGAATGTAAATTAGATTCCCAGTGTGCTACAGTACTCCAATTATAATGAAAAATGAATCAAGAAAAAGAGAATTTCTGACCATCTTAGCGATATTGCTTTCTGGAATTTTAGGTCTCCTGTGGCGAGACATGTAGTACAGCATCACAGTGGGGAAGTGGGTAAACTCAGTTTTTTTTGTTCTAGACAGAATACACAGAAATAACAGTGGAGGAGACTTTGATACGTTGCTATTACAAAGAGAATGTCGTAGGAACCACTACAAGATCCTTTGAGGATCCAGAGATAACCAGACATGATAAATTTTAGCCTATTTTTTTCCTATAAGGGTTGGGATTGTGAGTCTGCCCCAGAAAACAATAGTCATGATGTGTCTTACAAGTAGTAGGATATATTGAGTTCCATAAATATGGGATGCAAGTATAATTTATGAGAATCAGAAATTAAATTGTTTTTAGATATGGGTCAATGTATTAGTTAATAGGATGATGCTAATTAAATTATTTTTTTGCGTAATAAGTCACTATGGTTAGTAAGAGGATATTAAATGTATATACACATATATATGTGATTTAAGCATTAAATCATTAGGGTTAGCAAGAGGATATTGGATGTATGGATATATGTATAAATATATTACTTTTTTGACGAGTTGAAATAATTCACCTATACAAAAAAGATATATTTGTTCACTTATTTTGTTTAATATAGGGTTGATGTATCTGGAGTACAAGAGGATCCCTGCCCCGTCTTATAGAGTGCAGGGCTCCTCATCTGTAATTAATGATGTTAGTCATTTCTACTTACAAAAGCCAACAAGCTCATTGACTTCCTACACCACGCCCCTCTGTAGAAGTCCGTTATTGAGGGAGGAAACGCGTTAGGGAGTCAGCATGGTTAGGAGCTCTCCCTGCTATGATGCCGTGGATCCCCGTCTGTACTAATCATATGTGATGGATTCAGCATGCACCCGGGATGGAGCTGACAGCTATCTCTGCTAAAGGTGCAGGAGCATTTGGTTACAACAATGGAGACATCTTGTGGTGACAGATAAGTACTGGTCTGTCGTCCTTGAGCAGATTTATTGTGCATATACAGCAAGTTGTAGGGTTGATGTGAGGACTTGATTTAAGTTTTAATTAGGGATGCACTGATACCGGTTTTTCGGTATCAAGTATGAGTACCGATATTTTTTTTTCCGGTACTTGCCAGTACCGGTGCCATGTGCCCAAATTATGAGGAAGTCGGGCAGCGGATCGTGACCCGTTGCCCAGCTTCCTGATTGCCTGTGAAGCTTGTGTTCTAGCGAAAGAACACTGGCTTCAGAGGCTGCCTGGCTTCCTGACCAATCAGGAAGCCGGGCAGCGAGTCATGAGGCGCCGTCAGGCCTTCTGATTGGTCAGGAAGCCACGTTGCCTAGCAACAAGTGAAGCCGGCCTCCTAGCCAATCAGGAAGCTGGGCGACAATTTATGACCCACCTCCCGGCTTTCTGATTGGCTAGGGAGCCGTCTTCACTTGTTTCTAGGCAGCTTGGCTTCCTGACCAATCAGGAAGCCGGGAGGAGGGTCATTACGTGCCACCTGGCTTCCTGATTGGTTAGAAAGCCAGGCTGCTTAGAAACACGTGAAGCTTGCTTTCTAGCCAAGCTGGGAGGCGGGTCATAACCCACCGCCCTGGTTCCTGATTGGAAAAGAAACCAGCTCCATGCTCCCTCGGCACTGCCGGTCAGAGGGAGATCTCTAACTGGGGATTTCTGCTATACATACATTGTCTGCTTTGAGCTCAATGAGCTTAAGTTCATCTGAAGCAGAACATCGTCTCTTCACATTTCTGGCTACAATCCACATATAATATTGGATACAAAGTTTATAAGATACATATGATTTTTTCAATAAGAAGTGTTCTGACATACTTATTTGGCTCCTGTTGGGGATATATGTGTGTGTGTGTGTGTATGTATGTATGTATGTATGTATGTATGTATGTATATATATATATATATATATATATATATATATATCAAAAAACGGAATGGAACTCACAATGAGTTTGTGGGGCTGGCTGGGGGATAGCAAGCTGACAGCTGAGACTTGGTGTCTGTGGCTGGGGGACGGGACTGCTGTGCTGATCTCTGCAGAGATCAGCAGAGTAGCAACAAGCAGCTGGTGCCCAAGGCTGAATAATAGGGGCCCGACGCTGAGGTGGGGATCCTTTGCAGAGGACAGCACTTCAGTGTCGGGCCCCTATTATTCAGCTTTGGGCACCAGCTGCTTGCTGCTACTATGCTGCTTCTGCAGAGATCAGCACAGGCAGAGTCGGCTCTTTAATTAGGCAAATTAGGCGGTCGCCTTAGGCCTCGTGCTCCTGAGGGCCTTGCGGCCTCCTAGTTTGCCCTGTCGGAATGGCACATCACCTCGCTCGCAGTCAGGTAACGTTGTGAGCTCTCAGCCCTGCCGCTGTCAAACTGAGACTCTCAGTTTGACAGTGACAGGGCTGAGAGCTCATACGTTTCCTCGTTCGTCGGTGCGGTCCATCCACTCGGTCTTCTGGAGCTCTGCCCACCAGCCAGTGAGAAGAGACCTCACCCCTCCCATCCAACACGAGGATCTCTGGCTGTGAGGGCGGAGTTTATCTTCAGCAGCAGATGGAGACTATTTTGACACTGGCTGGTCCTGCACGCTCCTGCCAGCTCCCGCCCCCGAGACACGGCCAGCACAGTACTGGTGAGTGGCGGCCTGGAGAGTTTAACCGCACAGAGCCCTAGTTTAACCAGGGCTCTGTGCGGTTTTACCAGGATTTGTGTGGTCTAACCATTCCCCACTGAGCCCCCACAGAGCCCTGGTTAAACCAGGGCTTTGTAGTGTCTCACCAGGGCTCTGTGGGGTTTACCAGGACTGCAGTCGGAGAGAAGTGAGTCGGACAGAAGTGACA